AGTCCTTGTTTTAATTTAATTTTAATTCTTAATTGTTTGCTCTCTGATTAATTATTTTCAAATTAGATTGAAGGTTGGATTAGAAGATGTGTGTCCTGTCGCAAACATAGGCTCAGACTTTTTATTCTGGTTGAGGAGGGAGCAATGACCTCTCCTCCTAAAAATAGTCTCGGGAGTTTATATTATAATAAAATACATTTATTTTATGGCATTAATTGTCAAATATCAATGCTATTCTTTGTTAGAAATATTAATTTTCTTATAGAGTAAAGATTTTCCTATCCTAGATATCACTGAACGCATCTATTGGTTGCTTATAACTGTTATCTTTAATACAGCACTAAATTATTGCCTATCGTTACGTTAAGAAATGATGATGATGTATTTATATATTTATCATCATTTAAATGATAATGTATTTATATATTAATCAGGCACTTTATATTGTCAGGTTCAGCTTTCTGTTTTCTCAACAGAAACACAAAGCTTATTTTAATGAAGAATTTAATAATTTTTTCTTTTTTTTTCTTTATTGTTTTCTTAAAAGTGAATACTGCAAATAGTTTTAAGTGTCTTGTCATAGTGTTGAGTGTTTTTTACAAAGTTTCGTTTGTTTTGTTTATAGATTGTTTACCTGATATTTTCTATACATTATTTTTTTTTTCTATTAATTTTATTTAGGCCAGATGTAATCTTTTAATTTTGTTCTATTTTGTTATTCTCAATAGACTTTGTCCCAAAATAAAGTTATTCTATCTATTATCAAATTATGACTTAAAGTTATTCTATCTATTATCAAATTATGACTTAAAGTTATTCTATCTATTATAAAATTATGACTGATTATTAAAATAATCAACATAGTTATTGTAAAACGAACAATAGAATATTATATTTAAAAATAAATTTATATATTGTTAAAAAGGCAATTGAATACGTTAAATATTATGTTTTATTTGAAGGTTTGAGGCATTGAGATGAACTCTCAATTTTTCGATGCTTCAAATTTGCTGCGGTAAATGTGATAAAATGTGCCCGAAAAAAATGGAAGGGTGAGCATAAATAATTATAAAATCCTAGGATATGTTGCTACAGATAATCATCAATGAATATAAACGTTTTTTTTTTTTTTTGTCTTTACATCTTCATCCGCACCTGTCATGGTAGTGACAATTAGCAGATTTGCTGTTTAAATTGAAAATGACATGATAGGCATGACGAAGAATGGAGCCCAGCAGCACCTCTTCCCTGGCCTGTTTATATCCTAAAATCAGGAAAGGAGATCTCTCATCCAGCTCCTTTTCAGTCGCCTCCTGATGAGCATTTGAGCCGTGGCCATGTCTTTAATAAGTCCATTGTGATGTCCGTGTAGTTTTAGATGAAATCGGGAGTAAAGAGTACGTATGTGCTGGTCAATGGTTGGTTGTCTTAGGTCGGTATGTAAAGTCTTGTTGTTGACGTACCAGAGGGCTGCAGTTATTAGTCTTAAAATTTTAGATTGAAAGGATTGTAGTTTTTGTAAGTGAGTCTTTTTTGCTGAACCGTAAATCTGTGAGGCGTATGTCCAAATGGGTTTGAGCAGGTAAGTGTATGTATTTAGTTTTTGTCTAATTTTCAATTTTGATTTAGAAAACAGTGAGTACAGTATTTTCAGTCGCTTGTTCAAACTCTTTCTTTTCATTTTGACGTGTGGGCCCCAGGTCATCCTTCTGTCAAATATTAGTCCAAGGTAGCGTATACTGTCCGTCTGAGGAATTGGATTGTTGCTGATATAAACTGGTGGGCATGTTTCTCGTCGAAGCGTAAATGTTATGTGAATATAAACTAAAATTTAAATAATAGGAACTTAGAACGTGGTAACATACATCTCGTACTAACTTCTTGGCCTTAGATTATTGGTTTACATATTTTACTCATTCTTGTAGATTAATTGTTATTCATTTTTATTTTAAGTACTTTGAAATATTTGTTGAGGGGGGAAATGATATTCTCTTCCCCTCTCTATTTTTATTCGCCCTACCCCTTCACACCAAAGTCTGATGATAATAACTAACGATGTAGAGACAATTACCAAATGTAACCTCCACTAGCTTGTTATCCACTGATATCTTATCATTATGTTATCTTATTCTTATTTTTGCTTTATCATATTAATACTTATTCAATTTTCAATGTCTTTATTAGTTAACATTCATTTTCTTTATCTATTAACCTACAGTTATCAAATGTAATCTTTATTAGTTTGTTATACACGCATTTCTTATATGTTATCATAATCTGTTTACTTTTAACTTACATACTATATTCTCCTTCGTTTTCTTTTTTTATTCAAACTTATTTTCTATCTTTGTTTGTATCTTCTATAGATATAATACTTGATTTGATTTTATTCTAAGATTCCCTTTACAATACTTATGTCACCTTTTTGACTATTTTTCTTTCATAATTCCACACTTTGTACCTGTTATTATTATTTGTCTCTTGTTCTTACTATTGTCATTATTCTAACAACTTCATTTTACTGTAATTTTTATGTTTCTCATACCTTGTTACCTGGTTCTTTTCTTAGCCCTGATCATGGTCTTAACTTCAGGTCGAAACGTCAGCATATGTGAAAATAAATATTATCATTTATTTTTGCCTTCTTTTTTGACTGACCACCCCAATTATTCTTCTCTTCATTATAATACTTTTTATTCTATCTACACTCTATCTTTGATATCATCTTATTATTTCTTTATCAGACAACTCTTCCTTATTTAATATCTACTAATTATTCATTTACTTTATTTTCACCATGCACCTTTTGTATTTTGTATCTTTTGTAGCCCTGATGAAGACCTGCAAGGTGGATCGAAACGTCGGCACAATAATTAAATAATACTATTTCTATAATTTAGTATTTATTTGACCGCACCCCGCGATCAACTCCTTCTCAGATAATAACTAACAGTCACAAAGATTTTATACAATAATGAATGCGTGAATGTTTGTCGCAAGTAGTTCTCGGAATCTTAGCCTTGGGCCGCGGTGAATGTTTGTTCGCACAAGTGTAACCATAAGACAAACTGACTGGATAAACTTGCTGGAACACACAAGTTGGCTCGGATACCTGTGGTAGCTAAGTCACCCTCCCCTCCCCCCACAACTTGGCTTACCAACTTCCAACTATCGATGGTTAGAACAGAGATCGATGGAGGAGATTTAAACGACATTCCATCCACAGGTTAGTGGTAAAACTTATAATCAAGACAGAACTCATTTGTTGTAATCGATTTTTAATTGATTATAAACTGTTGATAAGGTACGTACTTCACACTACTTAGTTACATTTTTTTTAACATGGTGAAAGATTTATTCGTTTTATAAGAAGACCAGAGGTTTTTATTTATAAAGTTAATACCAGTATGCCACTAAACGAGAGGAGCTGTGATCTCCTAAACTACACCGAGTTTAATGTAAAGTGTAAAAATGTGTTTCACCGTTGATATAAAGTGGCACTTACGGTTAGCCGATTTTAAGGGAAAAGTTGCTGTCATATCTAAGAGATATACCTATCTTAAATACGTAATATCAGTTTCGTACGACTTTTTTCTTTTTTGAGCTACACAGACTATACACACACACAGACCATTTTTCAGGATTTGGTTATTTCGACTGACGGTACCTCAAAACATGTATTTACGCTGAAAATTCAGATTCAAAAATTTTCTCGATCGCAATACTTACCCTTACTATTTATAATATATATACGTAAGTGAAAGTATTAAAAAAAATACCTACAATGAAATATGATAAATATAGCGGCGTTTTTAATTACTGGTAGTCTTGTCAGACTAAAACTATTTCATGTCCCTTAATTATTTATTATAATGTGATAAATAATTGAAATGTATCTAAAATAGTCGTAAAAAGAAATGGTTAGTGTAAAAAAAACTAGCATAAATACACTAGACGCCTGTGAAAATAATTTAGTGGTCAATTGTTTTAAATAATATTTTGTACCGCCTATAATTTTTTAGTTTCTCTTTCTTTTCCATAAAACACCTATTTCTTCTGAAAAAAATAGAGTTAAGTGAAAGTTATGTGAGGCGCGCACCACACCAGATTTTGTTTTTTCGTATTCAGGACTGTCATGCAATAAATGTTAGTTTGTAAGGTTATCTACTTTCTCTAATAACCTTCTGAGGCATCTGAAAATAAGATTCCCTTGAGATTTTCAAATATAGAAATTTTGTCAGAGTGCTACCAATGGCAAGTCTTTTCGTGATTACATTTACTAGTACCTAACTTATCCTTGTTGAACAAATCCGCTACCTAGAACTCCACCTGGACAAGCGTCTAACTTGAAATCCTCATACTAGACTAAAACTACAAGAAACCGCCCGACGTTTCTAACTACTCCAGTACTTACTAGACAAACGCTCTAACCTTCCAATTAATTACAAAAGACTCATATACAACATGACCTTAATAAGACCTATTTGGACTTATGGAGTTGAGCTTTGGGACTCCACTAAACCATCGAATTTCTCTCGTATTGTACTTTGTAACAAATAGAATAATCCATAATGACCTGAATGTTCCATAAGTTGATGATTTGGCCCAACCTAAATACCTATCCTTCCATAATAAACTTCAGAACTATTCTAATCCTCTCGTTTCTAACTTTGCTTCCTCCTCGATCCATGATAATCCTCCTAGGCGTCTGAAAAGAAGCTGGGCTCGAGATCTCCGAATTTAGGAACTTTATTAGAGTGCTACCAATGGCTAGTTTCTCTACAAGTCTTTTCGTGTTTAGATTTACTAGTTTTATGCTTATTTAATACATTTATAGACTTAATAAATGAAAAAAAAAGAAAGTGCTCGTACAGCTAAACGGGGTTACAGAAAAAGATATACTATTCCTAGTAAGGCCGTTCAAACTCCCTTTCCCCCACTACTTCCACAGCTCGGCATTCACTAACTGGCTAAAGTATAGATTTAGTTAATAGGATTACCTTGTTTCTTGTCAGCCTCGGCAGCCACTTTGAGGATGGAAGCCATCATGAAGCAGCTAAGCAGCCGACCATCCACCATTACTACCCACTGGGTCCACCCGCATTACCTGAAATGCAATGATCACTAATTATATAAATAATAATTTCAATATATAATTATTAAAATGAACTATTTATTTATGCCTCCCTTCCTTGCCTTTCGGCTACATGGGATTTAGCAGGGATGGCATATCACACACGAGCATGACTTTCCTGCTATTAAAAGACAAATACATTATCAATTTTGTTTGTTTTTTTTCAAAAACTCTTTTATACTTTCACTTACTTATATATGTAATATATAGTAAGGGTAAGTATTGCGATCGAGAAAATTTTTGAATCTGAGTTTTCAACGGAAATAGACGTTTTGAGGTACCCTGAGTCGAAATGACCAAGTCCCGAAAAATGGTCTGTGTGTTTGTATGTTAGCAGTCTAGCTCAAAAATGAAAAGTCCTACGAAACTAATATTACGTATTTAAGATAGGTATATGCCTTAGATGTGGCGGCAACTTTTTCCTTAAATTCGGCCAACCGGTAGTGCAACTTTATATCAACGCTGAAACACATTTTCACAATTTTCTCAAAAACGGCTCTAACGATTTTGATTAAACTCGGTGTATCATTGTATAATTAAGTGGTCTCTAATATCAATTAGGTCGCATCCCTATTGATGTCACTTTACAGGGCCTAAATGACCAATGTTCATATACGTCTTCTTCTAAAGTACCTTTAATGTTGTTTATTTTAAAAAGTTAATCATTTCGCATTATTCAAAGTAATGAAAAAATGCTAAATATAACTTTTGAAAGAATTTAATAAGTTAATAAAGCAGAAAAAAAATACAGAAAAACCTGCGTTGCTATAGACTGTACGCCTAAACGAATGTACCGATTTCAATGAAACTTCGCTAAAGTCATTTTCTCGACACCTTTTAAATTTATCTATATAACATGCTACAACGAAAAGAAGCTGGAAAAAAGTTTCGAGGGATGGTAAAATTAAATTCCGAATAACTCAAAAAGTATACACTTTTTTGGGGGATATTGTATGGTTTTTTAAAATTTTATGGAATTTCCTAAAAAAACAAAAAAGAAATCGTTAAGATCGGACAACTAGGAGGAAAGGCATGGTCTCTAGTTTTTTCCCTGAAGAGGCGAAAATTTGGATAAATTTAAAATATACTTTTTTTATTGTTGAAGCTAAACAAACCTTTTTTTCTACAGATATTTTCTAAAGTATCTTTTCTAAGAACGTTTTTCATATGAAATAAGTACCTAAATTTATACCTTTATTCTCAGTTCTATATTTCAACACTGCAATCACCACCTCCGGAATCAACTTACTTATATTCTGCATAGATAACTTTTTCAACTAAAAATATCACTAAAATGACATCACTTAAAAATATTGAAATTGGAGTTAGTCATTCTGAAGTTTATAAAAGCAAAGAAAGTTGTGTGATTTATAAAAGCAGATGGAGTGGCTAGATTTTTATTGCCTGTCGTCGATATATTAAATAGGCATTTTGTAATTATAATGTTCTTAATGACTTGTTATCTGTAAGCTTTAAACTTTAGCTCCGTTTGAAATGCACTTCAAAAAAATTTATAATAGCCCAGCATTGCCAGAAAATAATTTCTATTCAAAGTAGATAGGTTAGTGAAAGTTGTGTGTTGCGCGCACCAGATTTTTTATTATTATTTTAGTCTGACGGCCTTCTATTAGCAGGTCCTCTTCTTCCCAGATTAAAGTGTGAGGGCCCCAGAGCAGCTTTCCACCCGTTCACAAATTCTTTGTAATCCGGGTAGTTCTGCTCCACCACTAACTAGGGAAATTCATACTGCGTGAGGCCAAAGACTCCAATTTTCCTCATCATTCCGGCCCTTAGTCCATCAAAGGCGGTGCAGTTGATGACGTGCTCAGCCATCTCCGGTATTACGCAAGTGGGGCATAGGGGATCTATGTCTTTTCCAAACTATGTAACTTAGAGCGGAAACCCCCATGTCCTTTAAGGAATTGAGAGACCCAGTAGTCCGGGAGAACCCACTTCGCATTCAAGCGAAATCGAACAGTGTGGAAATATTTTCTTAAAGTTGCTCCTTTCGAGGTAGTTATCCACCGCCGGTTCCACTCATTCCTTCCTTAGATTCCTTTTTAGTGTCCATTGAAACTTAAATACAAATTAATACAACAGTGCCGCTGGTTTAACCCGAGCCAGATACCTATCCTTTCCTGATAAACTCCAGTCCTATTCGAATCCCCTTGTTTCTAGTCTTGCTTCTTTCTCGATTCCTGATAATCTTCCCAGACGTCTGAAAAGAAGATGGCCTCGTGATTTTCTTACATATAATTAAATAGGGACTGCTACAAATGGACAATATTCAAGTCTGTTCATGTCATTATTTTTAATGTGTGCATTTTTACTGGTTGTATATTTTATACAGTATTAAATTTCATTAAATAAATAACAAAATAAAATTTATACAGAAGTAAAAAATTGAAGATATTTTACTTCATTTTCATAGAGGATTTTTTTTTCCGTCCGATAACTAAAGCATTTATTACTTCCTAGGATTTTCTCTAAATTAAACGTTAGTACAACCGTTAAAAAGCTGAATTAAGTTATTTCAATTCACATTAATAAATTTTCGATTTCATTCATTTTAAAACTTGAAATTATGAATTATGTTATATTTTTGATCAATCAGACTTTCTTCAAGACTTATCAAAATTTTTACTCTTGAAGAAATATTGTGATCAAAATGACATCAGCGAATATTTGAAACGGAAATAATCCTTGTCCGCTATAATGTTGAAATGGTAGCAAACGTTCTCTCGTAGAAGTGATTTGTGACTTGGGTTCGGTTGTGATTGTGGAAGTTTCTTTTTTATTCCTTATCCTTCCTGAAGACCCTCCCATAACGAGAACTGCCATAAGCCTTGCCTGATAGCGAATCCTAAAGCAAACGGGCGTAGGGCAGCGGCTCTGGGGAATTCGGGCGTTCTCGTTTTCCCGAAGGATCGGAGGGTCTGTTTGAACTTATTTTTCCTAAGTTTGACCTGAATGATTATTTTAGCAATAACGACCTAAAATATTTTATATTTAATATACATATTTTTGAAGTGAATAATTTTTCAGGCACATTTTACACTTTTTTTTGTGGAGAGTAAATTCCTATTTGTCAGATATCCGTTGTGTAACGGTAGGGTAAAGTCGGATGGAGTCGACTAATTGAAATGTTTTTGCATATGGATTGAAATATCTCAAAAACTAAAAATCGAATCTGGATATTGTTAGCGAGGAAAACATTCAAAATTTCATCCTCTTTGTAATGAGCTATTATTAAAAATTGTATCATAACGCAACACCGTGTTAGAGGGAGGAAAAGGGGAAAAATAGTGTGGAAAAATAAATGATAATAAGTTTTATTGAAGATATGGATTAAAATATTTAAGAAACTAAAGATTTCACCTTCATACTGTAAGCGAGGGAAATGTTCAGCATTTCATCTTCTTTATAATGAGCTATTATTTATAATTTATATTTCATATTATTAATCTCGCTTTGTTAATGTTATCACTTCTATCGTGTGGTCTAAAGCACACAACTTAGTTTTTTTTATCGTGTTATGAGAGGTTATATAAAAAAAAAAAATCCGACTACAGAAGTCCTGCCTATCTTAAGGGTGTGTTCTTCTGTATTAAATTTAACGTCAACTTAAACCACGACACAAACACACTTTGCGAAACTTGGTTATTTGAACTTAGAGATCCTGAAAACGTGTACTCACATTACAAATTTGTATTAAAAAATTTTGACGATCGCAATTATTTTTCTAACTCTATATCTTATATAAACGTAAGTGAAAGTAAAATATGTGTTAGAAAAAGCTTTTAATTTAATTTTTAGAGAGTTGAAAGTTTATTGTTTATATAAAATGTTAGATGCTGAAAAGGAATGAAGTATTCTCGAAACGTAAAATTATAAAAAAAAACGCTATTAATTACAATTTTTTTTGATAAGTTGATTTGTTAGCACTGTCATAAAGAAGAAATAAAAATATTTACAAATGTTATACTCTTTATGAATTGTTGACTAAAGTACCAGAGGACCGCGATTTACTCCGACATGATTTTAATTAATTCATGTTTTATTAAATAACTTCAGGAAAAAAATACATAAAAGCAAAATATTTGTTTGTCGTACAGCCGTCTAATTTAAGTAATTTAACATATTTTTAATTAAGAAGATTAATTATCATTGTAAATAAAATAATTAATGGCGAATGTTTAATTAAAAACATACCTGTGGATATAATTTAGCTGGAATAAATTACTGGAGTTTTTTAATTAATGAAGAGAATTTCACTCTTTTTTATTCACATTTTCCCCGACACCAACCTGTTTGTTTTTCTGTTTTATTTTACTTTATTATTATGATTGGATATGAGTTTTTCTGAGTTAAAAGATTGCGGGAATCGATTTGCGAGAGTCAAAACTATGGTAGTCTTCAAGGCTCCCAAAAAATGTTTTGTGTTTCCCTACATGTACGTTTTTTATAACCACAAGCTCTGGTATTATTTAATATTTATTTATATGGATTACATCAATATTAAATAATAAAATTTGTTTATAGATCGTGTGAATAAGTTTCGGTAGTTTTTTTTACTTTCCCTGTGAAATATATATGAAATATATAGTAAGAGTAAGTATTGCGATCGTGAAAATTTGGTATCTATTGGCCATTTACTTCAAAAAATCATCAATTAACCATTTAGAAAATTAAATTAGTGAATCATTTGATGGATTTCCTCTTGTGAAATCCAAACATTATCCACTTACAATTAGTGTGACAACTTTTGACCTATCCATGGCAGGCAATGAAAATCTCGTAATTTGGTTTTAGTAAACTTTACAATAGAAAATAACAGTTTAATAGCTAATAGTCCAACAATCCGTAACCATTTATAGGTTAAATATTCAGATGTATTTTCAAATCTCTCTAGGCATATATGAGCCTTTCGGTTGGCAGATTGTCT